GCTCTTAGGTAATGTCGACAAATGATCATTATGTGCGTAATATATATCCTCAGGCGCGTACGTTCATGGTAGCAGTAGAATTGGAAAAACCATCAGAATGTCAGCGATTCAGGTCCGTTCTTCTGGCCCTCTTTTCGAATATCATATTCCATTGTATTGCCAAATGAGAGACTCTTGTGGAGCTCAAAGGGGTAATATAGCTGAGTACTGGTCGAGACTATCGGTGGCTATGATATTCTAAGAAGATGCTGGATATAGTGAGGCAAATATCGCGCCGCCAGCGCATCTGCTCGCGTGGTCCAGTCGAATATACCACGTTTGCTTCCCTAACGAACCGGGTTCGATTCCCGCAGGGTGCATCTGAATGACCATTCATCAGACAGACGGTTTTCGCTCATACATCGTGTTCACGACCGGCTTGTTTCCGATTCGTCTCGCGTGTTTTTTTTCTCGTGGGCTTCGTGTTTTCTGTCATCCCTTGACACCGGCCTAAGGCAGCACCCGGCGGTATACTACGGGCGACAAGGCCATGCACTCACGCGTCGCCGCGTCGCAGCGTCTCGCGTCGGGCACAAGTGACAGGCCCACAATGGCAGAACATCACAGCTACGTCCGAGGTCAATAAGTACGACTTTTCTACCAGTTATCACAACCCCACCTGGCATCCTTCGAGTAATAATTGAGCAATTGCAACCGCTGCGGCAATCGACCGGCCGTAATTCGCGAGGCTGCGTCCGCTGGTGAATTCGTGCCGTTCGGTGGTGACCCGGGGCACAAGAATGCCAAAATTGCGGTTTATTGCCAGAAAGGAATCAACCCCGAGTATGGCAGAGTGACTCCCTTGGCTCGCATCCGTCGGCCCTACAATGCACTCCCGCCCAGCTCCAGGTCGATTCCTGTTTTCGGCCATGCAACAACCTTCTATCGGCAGCAACTTTGCAGCGAACTCGGTCATGATGCGTGATATAAGGATTGCCAGACTTCACCTTTGGAGCATTCGATTGGCTTGCGACCACGTTTGGAAGGGAAAAGCTATCTTCATATCAGCGGTTTGGCAAAAAGGTCAATTGATTACCCCAAGCGTGCAGTTATGAGAACGTGTTGCCAGCTTCGTTCGCAAAGCGGGCCATGGCCACAGCCTGAGGTATCGCTTTCTGCATTGAGACACAGCAAGAGCAGTTTGCTGACTGAGGGATATACTCAATCTAGCACACATTGTTCGCTGCTGGCGCAAGAGAAGTCTTCACAACTCACTATGCTCGTTGTATAGATAAGCTTCCCTATTACCAGCCCACAAATAGAACCCCGATTGGACCCGTGGGAGCGGCCGAACCACGGCGGTTTCTCACTGCCTCTCCATATTAGCATGCTCCCAAGCGATGAGAGTGGTGCAAACCTACTGCAGTGAAGCCTGGCACCAGCATAGGCAGACTAGACACGAGGTAGCTGTCTCGCCTCATTTACACGTCAAAGGGCCCGGCATTGCTCCGTACAACAGGAATGAATGGGCTATAACTGCCAATGCGTATCCCTAGGCAAACTTCCAGCTGTGTCAGTGAAGGACATGACTGGAGGAGATAGTCATGGTATGCTGTTCCGAGGAGGCTAGGAACTGACCTTAAGATTACCGCGCTCGTGGCGAGAGATCCGGGGTGGATTCAATGCCGTGGCCTACAATGTCGCTTGCTCAGCTGCAACCAGGCTCTAACAGAGCTGATCCTCATACTGTGGCTAAGAAGCTCAACCCGTTCCGGATTGGCGCTTTTATTGGAGAAACCGTGGTCCTCCTCGGTGGTCGTTAATGCTCGGCTCTTCTTCGCTGTCGCCGGATGCTGCGATAGCTCAGTCGATCTATCATGGGCCAAGATCAAGCCTGTCGATATACGGAAGATATTTCATGCTGTGACGGTTAACCATTAGTTGGAAGGAGGGGGAATGTGGGAGATGAAAGCATGTTGGAACTCTACCATATGCAAACCGAAGAGGACTCAGGTTCCCAGGGGTTTTTCCGTCAACACCAGCGAAATGTCCCTGAAACAACAAAGGCGAAACACACTGATTGTCAGTGGCCCGGCCAGTCGTGCATCCTCAATTTTGAGGGCGATGGGAAAGTGTGGACCGGTCTTGATGATTAGCTTCTTGGTGAAAGCTCTATGGCTAGAGAGAGGTATTAGCATTGTTTCTGATAATCAGAGAGCAAGACAAGATAAAGAATGAAGAAAGTCACATTCGCACGAAATTCAAAATGCGGCCCCGGCCATGGGAATAGGTAGAGGCGACGCACCAGGGTGAGTTAGAAGACGTTCGGGGGCTTGCAATCGACTATTTGCCTTCCTATGAAGCGTCAGCACGGAACAAGTAGTCTTAAAACTGCCGCAATGATAAAAACTTACGCTGTCAGCTATAGTTGTCTGCTACATTCTGGCACGATCAAAGCAGTTGCATAAAGCATGCCATCGATCTCTGAATAATAGTAAGTAAGTTGGTCGCTTATGAAGGCACTTTATAACTCACTTCCCCGCAGATTCGACTGTATTTGAAGTTGTCCAAGGTCTGTCTAAAATGGGTGGGTCGGTACTGATGTTAGACATCTCGTCGTGAGATGCTGCTATAGCTCGCTCGGTCTGGCATGGGGCCGGATCATGGCTGCTGACGAGGCCTCAGATTGGACGTGGGATAAGAGGTACGGAGCCATCGGAACACGGAAACCTCCTATTACAGTGATTGTTAGCCTTGATCAGACAGGGTAACACAGAGGAGTTTAAAACGCTTTGGAATGGTACCGTATGGCTAACCGGAGGTCCACAAGCCTTCTCCTGAATTGTTCCAATTGACAACTCCAGGTGAAGTGGCCATGGCGACCACGTCTTCAGAAAACCAAAGGTGCAAGCATACTGGGAGTCAGTAGCTTGACTCATCAGCCTGGACACCTTGCTTATTTCCAAGGACAATGGGGAATAGGGTTCGACCACATCGACTGCGATCTTGGCATTCGCCCTATGAGGAGAAAAAGACGTCAGCGAAATTTCTGAAGAACAGAGAGCTACAAATAGATGGATTCCACAGTGAGCAATCCCGGCTTTGGGAGTAGACAGTGGCAACATATGGGGTAACTTACAAGGCATCGGTTGGCTCATGGCAAAACAATTGGCTCCTTTATATAGAGCCGTCAGCACAGATAAACAATTCTAGAAGCTGCCAAAGTGATCGGAACTTACTTTGCCTGCTACTGCTGCATGCGGCATTCGAGTTCAGTTGAGCTGGCTTGTTAGTGGATGGTTTCGATCTATGATAAATCATCAGTAGGTAGCTTACGGGGCTCTTATAACTCACTGACTTCGCAGCCTGAGTTTATCGTTGCGACCATTCCAGTTCCTCGAATTGAACTTCCAGAGAAGCAGAGACGGAGCTGGTGTGAAACTTCCTCCACGTTAGCATGATGTCAAAATATCGGGTAGCTAAGCTTACCTGCCGTTTACGGATTTCGATGTCGAGCATAGGCAGACTAGGAACGATACAACATGTCAGTTCGATCACACGTGCATCACTGTTTCAGGTCGGGTCAGTCCATACCGAAGGCAGCTGGCGAAGTCGAGAAGTGCTCGAAGTTTTTTGCAGGATGATGTGCAGAGAAATATTTGAGAACGATCATTCTACTGGCGGAAGCCCAGGTACTTATAGGCATTGTACCCAGACCTGACCTTTGCGCTGATGTCATGAATGCTGCCAATTGTGAGGGTCTCAACACCGCTGGCCCTCAAATTGCAGTTGGTCTAACAATTAACCTTTGATTGAGGCAGTATTCGGCGACATCGCGACTTCTTGTCCATTGTATTGATGAATGAGTATAATCAAAGGCCCACCTCACTGTTGTTCTTGTTTCAACATGTACGGTGATACCGCAGAAAAGCGCCGATGACACGTTTCAACATTCATCAACATGGGTATACACGTTATCGTGATAGGAGGGGCGGCAAGTGGTTGTTCGACCATTCTGTGTCGGCATGTGCTAGGTGTCTCTGTGTACTGCTTCCGCAGGCTGGTAACCAGGGGTTGGCAGTATCCACTCCCCGAGCGAAGGCGAAGACTGATGATGAAGCAGGTTGAGCTCTCCGTCGAGCCGCTCAACGCCATCCTTTCTTCAAGCTATTCTCCCTCCTCCTGGGCCCGCCTCAGACCATCAAGTGAGGTATTTAGTGCTTCCAGCCTAAAGCACCTGGCTGTTTCAGACGCACTGCCTCAGTCGGATAAAGGTGGCCGCTGTGCCTGAACGTCGACCTCGAGTTCAGATGCAGTACATACCTGGCTCTCGCTCCTGGCCCCCTTCCGTTGTCAGTTCGTCCAGGCTCCATCCGAGCTGTACTATTTCCAACAATATTGAGTACCTTCACTCAGGGCATTCCCGCTTTTCGGGACCGTGGGGGGTGAATGGCAACACGATACATTTTCCCAGCATTGTTTAACGTTGTGATGCTTCGGCTGGGCCATGTGAATGACTTCTTTGATTTAAGCTAATAGCATGAAATACTCAATTCGTGGGTCCTAATGGCCCATTTTATACGCTCATTTCAACATCTGAACTGTTTGGCTGATGGGAAATGCGTTCGCTCGCTAGCGTGAGACCTCCGGGCAGCGGCAGGGGCTCAGGCGAATGGACTCGCGCTCCGCCTGCAATGGCTACCGGGACACTGTGGTACAGTAATGCAGGAAACGACGCAGCAAGATGGCTGAGTAGGGACGCCGCGGGGCTCAGGCAGACCACACCCCTTTCTGCCTCGTACTCGCAAGGAAAACAGGCATTGATCTGAAGCAAGATTGTTGTTATCCAGTGGAGGCAAGCATAGATATCCACCAACAAAGGTAGTCACCCGCGAAGAGTTGACAACACACGGCCGGCCAACTACATGAGAAGGTTTTACATCATCGTACAAAATGATCGTACAAACAAAAGCCAAGAGAAAGTCGTTGCGGACGTCAGGTCCGAAGCAGGGGAGAACCACTTAGGCCGCGACTTGTCTCCGTTCTCTCGAGCTCAAGTCACGTTTCATTTCCCCGTTGGTAGCATAGCCGCCGTGCCAAAGAGCCTGTTTGACAGTGATGGAGCTGGGGAGATTCTTGAGATCAGGCCTGAGGTATTTCATTCTTGCGGCACGCCACCGACGCGCTTGTCGTCCTATTTGGCCTTTGCGGGGTTTGACTAGCTTCGTTTCACTAGAATATTCATCAGAAACATCTTCTGGCTCGGCTCTCGTGCCCTTGGATCTTGATCTTGCATTATTGATGGGTTGTTGCACCGAGGGTAGGGTAGGGTTTACAGGCGGCGGCCCGGCGGGCAGCGGCGGGGGAGCGGAATGCACTCCGCTATCATGATAAAGTTCTGACGGCGGCGGTGGAGGCACTCTGTGCCCAGCGAATCTGCTTTCTGTCATGAAGACCCGACGAAGTTGATTGTGCTGTTCAGTGTATTTTTCGAAGTTCGCTGCAATGATCGGCCCCAGAATGCTCTTGTTCGGGCCTCGGACGAGTGCGAGGTGTTCCATACGATTTTTCAGGGTGGTATGAGCACTAGCGAAGGTGCGAAGAATCAGGTCGATCGCCCTTGTGCCGCCAGAGATATCGTTGTCCGTATTGTTAGGATCTTCAATAGTGAGACGATCGGGGGTTCCAAATGATTTCTGTTGTGTTTCATGAGTCAGATAGTGCATAAGTGGACCATTTGAACCTATCCCACCTTGCTGAAATATCCCGGAGGATCCAAACAGATTGCCGCTTGATTGTATTGAAACTTGTTTCCGTAGAAATTAAAAAATTCCATGAGAATGCTGCCAGGGTTGAGCTGCATATGTCCTTTGGGCAGATGCTGGAGTAGACTTGTGACCAAGCAAGTGACGGAGAAGCCTCCCAGTCCACCAGTCCGGACTTCGTTGAGGCCACGGATCAGCAAAAACTGCTTGACTACTGACAGAATAACGGGCATTATGGGGAACTGCTCCTTCCATGTTTGAAATGTCTCGTTGGCCATCAACCCACTGTTGTTGTCAAAGGACATATCAACACGCAGCCCAGTCAGCCGGTCCACGAACTTCAGGATCGGGACCCGAGCATGGGTAACGCACTCGATCGAATCAGGAACAACAATATTGGTACTTTCCAGGAAGCCCGAAATGGCGTTTATTTTTTCTTTCCTCTCAACAAATGAACGCACTCCTGTGCGTCTGAAATTGTCGGACAATAGTACCAGATCAATATCCGCGGTAGGCAGGTAGATACCAGAGGCAGAAGAGCCAAAAGCATGAATTTCAGTGCCAGCGTATCGACTTTGAAATGCAATCTTCAATCGCTCGACGAGATCTCTACGGACAACGTTTCCAAATTCCTGTGGCTTGGCCCAGTCATAAAAGCTTAGAATCTCGCGATCTAACCTAGTGCGGGTTAAGAAAAGGAAAGACTCAATAGCGATCGAGAGGACAGGGGAAGTACAGACTGAGATTCTATGTGCAAGGAAGACGGAGTGGACTCAAACCAAGGCGTACCCGTCTCTTGAGACGGTGGTCTCCACTCCTTGATAACTGAACCGTCGCAGTTGTACTTGCTTGTAGGCTTGCCGGTCTTCCTAACGTGGCGTTTGATCGCACCCCTCCGGGTTCGCTTTCGACTCGGGTCGGCAGAGTACACATTTTCCTGGCCTGTTGGCCCTTTGAAAGCGATATCGGAGGCGTTCTCGGGAGCGTTGCTCTGATGCTCTGATTCTGGTATCATGCTGAGGGAAACGAAATCCAAGTTCTCCCTGAGTTCATCTGTCTCAGCTGCCTTCGCTTTATCGCCAAGTCTTGGTTTTTGAATCAGCTTGACAACATCGAGCCTTTGATTCGTTTGTTTGCTTCGTAAGGGTATCGCAGTGTAAGGATCCGGGTTGGACCATCTCGGAACAGAGGGGCAAGGGTTTGAAATTGGTGTAGGGTCTTGGGATTCACCAACACTCATTGTGCGCTTCTTGTGTGGTCGCTCAGTGTCGGAGGCATCATCGGACGTGTCCCTTTTGGTCTCTTCGCTATTGCTCGAAGCAAGCAAGGAGGCGAACTTGCGTGGAGGTTTGGTCTTGGTTTCACCTTGGAGTTTTTCCGGTGTGCTATCACTCTTTCTAGATAGCAGCGGTCGGTCTGCAGTGGGAGTTGATGGATTCGGACGCGATCCACGGTAGTTTGGATTCCCTCTGAACTGTAAGGCTGACATTCTGGAGGGTGGCAATCAAGCAAGAGATGATCAGTGAACGCAAATTAGACGCGTGCAGTATTGCTTATGAAGGCGGTGGGGGAACTAAATCAAATTGGATGGGCGGGTCGGAAGCAAAGTGATCTCTAGTGTCGAGGCTGAGGCTTGCGATTGATTTTCGATGCACGCGCTACAAATCTTTGGCGTGATGCACAATTATTTCCCTACCAAACAAGAATGGCAGGACCCTTTGACTCAAGTCATGGGGATCAATTAGCTTCACAAATACCGGGGAACCATTTCTCACAAGTACCGTCGATCAGGAGTCAACCTCCAAACATTTTCGACAAATGAGTTTTCGATGAGCCATGGAACCGCCTGCTCGGTGAAAGATGATATGTTCTATTCGGGATTGTTGCGAAGAGGCCCCCCCTTGCGTCGGGTCCACGATATTCCGTGCTTGTAATCGCACACAGATATTGCTCGTATATCCTCTCCTTCGAAAGGAACATCGCCGTTTCGAAGGAGAGTTGGGCTCTTTTCGCAGCGGTTTCTTCCCGTCCACCGCAGAACCCCTCATGTATGTACTAAGTATGCTTCCGCATAGCTTTGCTTCCTCCTTAAATATACGGAGTGCTACGGGCCCGCCTGCAGCCCTCGCGGCGCTGTAGTCTTCTATCAAGGAGACCTTCATCACCATGTTCAGACTGCAGGTGCCCCGTACGGGCCAAAAATATCTCACGCGTCTCCATTTGTAGCAGTGTAGCAATGGTTGGAATAGAACCAGGTTTTACTGTACTATTCAGGCTTGGCATTAGGGTTGGAGAATGAATCGAAAGCATTACTGGCTTGCTCTTTTTTCCCCTTACTAGAAAAAGGAAATAAATGAAAAAAATTTCCAAGTCTCTGCATTTGCATAATATTACAGTGAAACCTAACTTAATAGGGAAAACCTATACCAAGACAAAAAGGGGCTCACAGTCACAGAAATTTAGACACGTAGCACGTCTTGACAGAGCAGACTGGGAATAATAGATATTAGTAATGAGCAGGGTGGGCGCTGGGCTCGCTGCGGCTATTGGCAGTGGCTGGCTGACCCACATATCTATGCAATATTGCCAGAACTTCCAACTGAGTGTATGTCCATCCTTGGTGGCCTGAGGTTTTTGTACTGCGGGACCCACAGGCTAATGTCGGACTGATCAGAACACTGCTTCCAACTTCCGTGTGGCCCAGGTTTCGATGAGAGCTGACGGACATTTAATATGATATAACTGAACCGGACCAGCTACGCTGATGATATCGCTATAATAAATTCGAGATTTTGTTGAACGAATATTGGATTATACCACCACAGGGCGAGTGCCAAGATCGGTTTTCGGACGAACGTACCGATCTGACGGTATGAAAATTCAAAGAACAGCGCATCTTTATGGCTACCCTTTGCATATAAAAAATGATATGACACCAAGGTTCAATGTACTTATGTCACGTGATGTAAAGAGTTAAGATATTGGTCAGCCCATTGCTGCCGATTCCCCTATTCCTCCTTAGGTGCTGGGTGAACGTCCGTTGCAGATGGTCCCTTGAGGCCGTTCTGAAGTTGATAGCAGACATGTTGGCCTTCTCCAAGTACTTTGAAGCCATCCTCCTGGTTTAACGATTCTTAGTATGTAGACAATAGAATTTCTCTTGAGTTGCCGCGTCGTACCTTCACTCCCGAATAATGGACAAAAACATCATTCCCGTCGTTATCAGGTGTAATGAAACCAAATCCTTTCTCTGAATTGTACCACTTAACAGTTCCACATGTCTCTTCTGTTGCCAATGCCAATGTCGACCGGAGACAAATGGCAATGCAGCCGAGTGTGGAAAGGAGTTTCATTTTGATAGGAAATGACCCAAAAATATGACGCACAATTTGTTTGGTAAAGAGAGAGAAAGAGAAAGGGAGGATAAAAGCAAAGATTGGAAAATCACCATTCAAATATATCGCAATATATTTTTGCACACTCTCGGCTGAGCGACGATCGGTCTTTGCAAGACGCATGAACACACGATCGACACTGGTTATGATCGGCGCACCGCTATGAACGACTCGGCAGCTCTAAAAGCCTTGGAAGCAAGGGTATTTACATCATCCGACAGGAATGTTCGGGTAACTCGGTAAAAAAGGTGACGGTAAAACTGCCGCCTTAGAAAGCGATCGGCTCCTAGAGCCTAGCCTGAGTTAGTTCCCCGGCCGCCCTGAGCTGCTCCCTAAGCGACCCTGAGCGATCCTGGAGCTGCCTAGGCCTGCCGCATGAGCTTGTCACCCACTGCCCCATTTTGACTGTAGTGGTAAGATATAACACTTTCGAACAAAATTATTGTAGTACTATGATCTAGGAATTGAGGCTTAAGGTTTCAATACAGTACGTTACACTAATGTGAATAGTGGGTCACGGATTCATGCGGATTCATGCGGCACCCACCCATACACACGGCTTTGTCCAGGTCTAATACAGGTAATTGAGATTTGTTCCGTCGTATAAGCCGATAGCATCGACCCGAGTCAAAAAGAGAGCGATAGCAGAATACACGCGTTTTGCTCCTAATTATTCCTAATTGCCTGGCCATTGCACCTGTGGACAGATAATGTGCCGTATAAACGATAGCTGTGCAGATCTCAGTGTGTATGTCTCAGAAATAGCCCGGTCCTGCTCAGGGTGGGTCTTTTCTTGAAATGATCTGCGCATTCTTATCCGTAAAATGATCGTCGATGGAGCATGCTTCTCGATCGAGAATGCATGATCAGCTATGGAGTACATTTGTATTGAGTCCTCATGATCCAATGGTTGTGCAGCATGAAGAGGGGCAGGAGAGTGAAGTATTTAAGTAAGCAAGGCTTGCAGATTTCTTTTTCTTACAAAGCAATTTTCATTCATTCCTCTTCAACATGAAACTCTCTCTATTCGCGCTTCTGACCGCTTCTGTTTCGGCTCAATTCGAGAAGAGAATCGTCGGCGGATCGACCGCCGCCACTGGACAATTCCCCTATCAAGTTTCCATTCAAACCTCTTCGCATGCATGTGGAGGAAGTATTATCGATTCCCAGAACATTCTCACTGCTGCCCAGTGTGTGAATGATCGGGAGGCGAGTCATTTAAGGGTCAGAGTTGGCTCAGCGCAGCACGCCTCCGGTGGGAAGTTATTTCAAGTGGCAAAGATCACCCAGCATAGTGATTACAATGCCAACACTCTTGAAAACGACATTGCCGTCCTTCGATTACAGGACAATCTCGAATTTGGATCCAACATCGCTGCTGTAGAGCTTCCCTCTTCTGAGCTAGACACTTCAGCGACAGGAGCCAAGTGCTCGGTCACCGGCTGGGGAACTACTAGTCATGGTGGAGAGCGTCTTCCCGCCAATCTTCTATTCGCCTACCTCAATATTATTGACCATGAGAGCTGCGTCAAAGCCTACGACTCATATCATCCCAAGGTTAATGACATGATGGTTTGTGCCGGTGTGCCCGGTGGAGGGAAGGGCGCTTGTCAGGAGGATACTGGTGGCCCGCTTGTTGATCAAAGCTCCAAAAAGCAGGTCGGAATTGTTTCTTGGAGTCGTGGGTGTGGACAACATGCATACCCTGGCGTTTATACTAGTACTGCAGCTTACGCGGCCTGGATCCAGGAAACTATTCTGCTTGAGATTCTTTAAAAAGGTATATATGTGGCCGGGTCATCAAGAAATTATCTTGTCTGTCCATATCATAGCTAATGTAATGGGGGTTTTGTCAAATAGCGGTATAATATAAGGCCTGGCCTATGCGAGAAAGCAATTCAAGCACCTATTTCTCCTCAAATAACAACCTCCAGGCGTTCTCTCTCTATTTACTTACTACCCATAGTGGCCATGGCTGGTTCGCAGATTCGCACTGGTCGGGTTCTCCTTAGACATCCCCTCTTTCACTACCGGATTGATAAATAAGGACTATGATAACTAACTTTGTATAAATAACTCTTTATTCTTCAAGTTTCTTCAAGAGTAAAGGGGCATTCACGCAAAGTCATTTATCCTAGTAATCATGCGTGAATCGAGTAGGTGGCGTAGCTGAAACGAGGTCAATGCGTCAAAGGATCTCGATCGTAGGAGTGGGGTAATTGCTTTATCAATTTACCGTCACTTGTTTTGGGGGTGGGGGGGGGGGTAGTACTGTATCTTTTTACACCACGGAGTACAGAGTAACAAACGATCGTATTATGTAACGGTTTGTAGGATTTCCGTACATGCTAGTACTCAGGGAACCAATTGAATGAGTTGATTGAAGAACTATTCAGGAGATCGCTGTTGAAAGCATTTCATACTCTCAGAAGCTAATATTAGCGTGTTACAACGCTGGTATTCCGAGTTGACCCGGTTTACCATACAAAAACATATGGAGGAGTGGGTAGTCGCTGAATCAGCTAGTTCTTAGTGGTAAAATACCACCTCTCAGCTTGACACTATGAACTTGGGTGTCTGCTTGCTTTCCTTGACAGATTTCATACTGTTTTGGATAGGTCCTGGGTGCATCATCCACCATGTGATCCCTTGCACTGTTCCCAGGCACGAACAAAACCACTCCAGGAGACACAACAATACTGTACAATATAGAGAAATAATTTGGGAAGTGCTGCCCTCGAGACTCGGAGCAGAGTCAAGATAAACGCTAACCACTTTAGGTAATTAACTAGTCAATATTGTGCCTGAAATGTAAGGCGGAGAATAGAATAACTAGTTAAACATCGAGCCAATCATTATCCGAAGAGTCGATCTTCCTCTGCTCCCTTGAAGCCCTCGCGACAAAGGCGAAAAAAAACAACACATCCCTATTCATATTTAAAGAATTCTCGGGCTCATCTTTCGCAACCCGTGACACACGCATACCACTCGACGATGGAAATAGGAGGCAATATCTACCATCGCAGCTCCCCGCAATTGCGACTCGGCCGCCCTACCACTACCACGTCGCTGCCTGGTCGTAGCGTCCTCATCTCCACGTCCTCCCTTGTGCCAGGCAGCAGCTACCCAAAAGCCGGTTATGACGACGTGATCGGTCTGTAACACGATGCGTCTCACACTCCCTTTGAGCAGGATTTGGCCTACACCAAGGTGCCACGAATGAGCAGCTTCGCGCCATCCAGCTGTGGCCCGGTCAGCTACGCCTCAACTCACCCGTCTCAGTCACAGGACGCTCGCCGCACTTTGCGTTCGTGAGTACCAGCGTCACAATCAAAGCACCCGTGAAGAACCACAATTCTGACCCCCAGTTCCAGAGACACTCGCGTCGGCTCCTCCCTACCAGCCAAGCTCACTGCAACCTTCAGTGAAGAGCTCGATGCCAGCCGCGGCCTGGTGGCGCTCAGCCAGGATATGACTCCCCGAAACATCTACGGCCCCTGCGGCGCGCGAAAATCGGCCGATCTCTACAACCCCTCTGTAGGCAACATCGAATCCTCCGTGAAAGACTTTTAACTTCACAACATTCGAGTTCTATGTTTCTCCCAGCCTAATAGCCTCTTGCCCCTTGCTGGTAAAGGGCCGTCAATACCCCAGTGCATGATGAACCGGTTTAGCTTCAAGACGCCCTTTAAGACGCCCTTCAAGACACCCTTCAAATTGGAAAAGAACCACAAGTGTAGGGTCTGCCACAAGGATTTTCGGCGTCCGTCTTCACTGCAGATGCACTCTTACAGCCACACCGGCGAGAAGCGTGAGTAAAGCGCTAAATCAGGCAGTGGAAAATTCAAGGTTGACGCAATTCCAGCATTTATGTGTGACGTGGATGGTTGCGGGCGACGCTTTTCCGTGCACTCAAACTTTCGCCGACACAAGAACATCCACCAGGGTGACACCTCATAAAGTGCTTTTTTCGATATAGAACCGGACGAATACACAGACTTTGTCTGACTAGTCCTGCGTGCTGTGCACTTTGACGGACCTCGTGAAATAGATCACTAAGAGGGGTTATACTGCCTTCTCGCTCTGATGGGAAAAAGAGCACTCCTGCCTTTTGTATCTTCCATAAAGCTTCAGCGAAGCTCATTCGTCATCTATATCACCACGTGCACTGCATATACGAAGGCGCCATCTACGTCAAGTCTGACGCCACTAAATGTGTTACCCAATAATTTCACATCAATCTCATCCCCTTTATTCTTATTGAGGATGACAAAGGGCTTCCAGCATCATAGGTGTTTAGGCTTGGTCACGGACTAGGAGGAATTGTTGGAGAAGTGGGATTGCCAAACATCTGTTCTTAAGTACGTCAGTGATAGAACGCTCGCTACACTTTGCTAGCTTAGGTATTTGTGATACAGTCAGTCATTTCTTGCTGATTATAATGCATACGATCATCTTACGCTACTAGGAGATCAGGTTTCTTGCCATTTCGCAAACGATACCAGTATTTCACCAGGTACATTTTTCTGAGGACTCACTTTTACACAGTGCTTCACCACCTTCACCATGTCAAGCTGAGGAAATCAATTTCAACAGATGGGCGGGCGCATCAGTATGTACAACGGGAATTAATCAATGACAAGAAAAAAGTACGATGGTTTTCTGAAAGCATTGTTGCGGGCTATCTATTGAGACTTTAATCCTCGAGATAGACCGGTAAATATACTCTGGTTGTAATGATCTCAGCTTTCTGTCTGCTTCATTGCTTTTGACGCTTTTGAACCCTTCTTTGGGCGCTTGGCCCTGATTTGCTTTACATGAGTCTTCTTCAGTACACATGAGACTGTTAAATTGTACAAACCAACGTAAATATGCCACGTGTAATTGCTGATTGCAACAATTTACCTTCTAGTCAACGAATTAGCTCTTCAATAAGACTTAAGGACGGAACAAATGTAGAATATAGCGGATCTGTGTGTATTAGTCTCAAGAATCATATCTCTAACCCGACTTCTCCGTTCATCTGACAGGGTGACGGCCTTTTTCGGTGGGTATAAGATAAATTTTGTTCAAAGAGCTTGACGATGCACCACGAACATAGTACTAGACAGCTAGCCCTGAACCTGTGATGGACCGGAGTATTGTTTTTTATCTCTTAGCCAAAATCGAGACGGTTAATTATTCTCATTTTTGCCCCCATTGAAGAACATTGAAGAAATATTTGAACTAATATGGATCAAACCCGATGTTGAAATCACCACCCGGTATCGTTGTTATGACACCATTCCACAATTTACTAGCTGGCCGCCTCGTTTGAACTCATGACGAGCTTAAGAGGTCGCTTTCGTGACGTTGAATATACCGGGCGCGTCATCTCTGCCACCCTTGGAGGTCGCACAGGCATTCTTAATGAATTCAACAGCTCCGTCGTGGGCACCATTTTGCGAGACATAAGGACAGGATACATAATGAGTGTCACCATCATACAGGCCGAGATCCCTGCATTGGCCATTATAGGCCAGATAATTCTTAGTAATTTCATCTCGAGCTGTTGATGTGATCCCATAGCAACCGATGGTATATTCATTGCGTTGGCTAGTGTAGAAAATTGCCACAAATCTTCCTGGTAAAGCCGGCCGTGGGGTATTGTTGTTCTCGTGGTAGCAGCCCCTCCCAAAAGTTTGTTGGGGCGCTTCTTTGCCGGCGGCGTAGCAGCTCACGCTGTTTCCTTTAAGCCATTTCTTGCTTGCAGGATCGTATGTGCTTTGCTGGAAACACCAGGATTTCAGGGCCTGGTAATCCTTATCAGGACCATTTCCACCCCATTTCCATTGACAGTAGTCACAGTTGGTCCCGACAAAGTTGCAATTCGTGGCACACCAGGCGTCACTGTCCAATATGTCACAGACTTGTTGAATGCCTGAGAGTTTGATCGAGATTCCTGAGCTATCCTGATGCTCACACTGGCAAAAGTTACTCGCGAGGACCGTCGCGCTGAGCGCCAACGGAAGAAGCACCTTGGTTGTAAGAAGCATGTTGATCGAGTCTCTAAAAATAAAGCAATATTTGAAATCAGAGTAGGTTCAAGCCTTCGAATTGACCAGGCAGGTGCATATACCAGAAAGTGTACAGTATTTCGTATCGGATTTCAGTGATGTCTTCGTAGCGCCCGAGACAGGATGGAGAGGAACTTTATACCCTAAACCCAGGCCACTATGGTGTAACCAGAGCACACAGGCATTCCCAATAATGACTCGGAACACATGCATGTGTGCAGGCCCTGAGGGTGCCAGTATGTGATTGTCCGAGCCACTGCACTTGCGTTGGGGATCCTTCCCTAGGTAGGCATGCACGAGAAAAGAGAAAATGAAGTAATAAAAACCAACGCAAAAAGCAAAGCAAAGAAAGAAAGAGAACTACTAGTAGACAAGAACGTTTGAAAAGGAGCCAGGTACTGGCGCATAACACCGATCAGTTGGAATCTGCTGTACTAGTAGCCCCTAAACGGACAGTGGCGAGCCAACATTGGACCAAGTCGCCCGTTGAAATATGAAACTCCACGTGGGACATATCAATTAATCTTGGAAGTGATGTTGAATTATTCAGATCTCCCGCTCATCTCCCAGAGGACTTGAAAACTCAAATCATGAACCTGCTCACTCATTGGTCGACTCCCTGGTCTATCTTCTGCTGATCTTGAGCTGAAATGACCTCTGGAAGTGAGTGACATATCATATGATGGCCCACAAATTACTTTTTCTCAGCTTTCAGAGTCGGGGCCAGATCAAAATGCCATGCAACGTTGCACCGCAAAGGTACCATAAACATTTGAACTATTGAAAAAGCTATTACTTCTCATCCAAGCGTACTGCAGATGGGAACTTTGGATGATCATTCTGCAGATTTCTGGACGGTCCAAGATTGTGCGAGACCTCTTGAAAAAGCATTTATTCCGTAGGGATAACATTGCTGGAATAGGAAATGAAGGCGCTGGATATCAGTACCTAAATCAATCGCTTTGGATTTGAGAATTGATGAAAAACTGGATAAACCGAAGGAATAGGAAACACTGTTGTCCGACGCTCTTTACAGGGTCCGCGCGACTTTATGTATGAGCCGGGGAATGCTGGAAGGTAATAGAGCAGCAAGATGTTCAATCAAAAATGCATGAAGTAGCATTAGTACTCAGACATAGCAAGGCAGCCAAACGCGGATCAATAATCTTCTTTTGCTTTTTTTATATCCAGGCTCAGCTCTCCACATTATTCGAAGCATACATTGCATACGGCTTCTGACTAGGTGGATGTTTGGCACGACCTACCGAATCACCTCTTTGCTTTTTTTAGCATTTCCCACTGCAGATCAAACAGTGGCTTTTTGTGTAACTGCATTTATCATTATTTATCGAAAAGGCTATATCCATTTCGCGGACTGAAAAAGCAATGATCTAAATAGTTCTGAGGAGCATATCCACTTTAGATACTCTAGGTCAAGTGCAGACAACTTTGGAGGCTCTTTCTGCGGGTGGGCCGCTTAAGCACTTCTCCTAAGTTATGTCAAAAAAGCAAATTGCGAGCTTTTAAGAGCTAATGCCATATAGTAGACCACGTAAAAATCGCACTCTATTAAGCCGGTGCTTTTGCGTCTCCGTAAAGCGCTCAATGTTATTGGGCCAGGGAAAGAGAATCCAGCGGCAGATTAATGAGGTGCCTCCCAGGAGCAATGAAGCATGGAGAAGTTTACGCAGCATTTATGTCTCCTAGGGGCTAGTGATAGCATTCCGAGGAACAATGTACAACACTCCTAGGGACAAACGGGCCCTAGGAACTAATGCGAGGGGCCCTGGGAACGAAGGCGAACGGCCCCAGGAGCTCCAACTATAGCTGTGAGGGTGTCACGTATCTGTTGATGAGGAGCGTGTCTTTCCGATGGATGATCAATATTAACGAAAGCTATAGTCGACTCTCAGATACAAGACGTAGCGCGAGGAAGCAAAAGAAGATAGCTTCCTCGCGTTCAGGGGAACCCAGATGTACCATGTGGGTCCCTATCCGCAATTTTGCCCGTCCGCATGAAGGTAGTCTACCGCGTATAGCCGGTCGACTGCAGCTTGTTGATAATCTTCCATGTCATGAAGACGCTAAAGGTGCTCTGCAAGTCGCTCTGGCTTCTTTTTGTCATTGTACAACCTACGCATCTCAGGGATGACTCTAGCAGCTTTTCAGGTGGGGCGTTCAGTTGACCTGTCCTTTGAAACCCACCGTCCGGTAACTTCTTGCCCAGGTCATGCTGTATCACACCACCGAATCCATCTCTTGGCTGACTCACAACAACATCGCCTAGTCGGATATCAATTCGAGCAGTTGGTGCTTCAACAGGATATTAGTGGGTGGTTCTGGATAAACGTCATAGATTAGGAGCCATTTTGGTGAAATAATGGAAATAATGGATGCGTGATGAGTCAAGTAAACTCCAAGGATTTCAAAATGTACTTATACTCCTTTGGCAATGTCATTAGGCTAATGAAGTGCCAAACAGCTGAAACTTGAGGTAGAGATTTTCTCATTATCACG